TCTGACCAGAAACACTTTCATAACGAATATACGCAACAACACCATACGCAAGCTCAGATGCGTCGGCAAAACAATGAATTTGCGCAGATGACGGTCCAAACCCTGGTTTCAAACACCTTGGTATTCTTAAGTGGTCTAACCCTTTTATATGTCTACACCAAATATTCCACTTTGCTTGACAATCTATGGGTAACTCGATATCTCAGTCTAGTTTCCGACGACAAGTATCTTGTATGATCACTTTAGCTGGTAATATTATTGGGGCTACAACCCCAATTGGATCAAAAATAGATGCTACGTACGATAAAATATTTCTTCTGGTTGGGTTTCCGTGAAATTCATGAACTTTGAAACATAATTCGTCTGTTCGGACGTTCCACTCTATTCCCAGAGTTCGTTTACTTGTCTCATTGGACTCGCAGACAACAATGTTACCTTCAACACGGTCTTCTTCTGGAATGAACTCCAACACTTCAACGCTATTATTAGCCCATTTAGTTAAGTTAAATCCTCCCAAACTTAGGAGTCTTTTAAGGTGTGAATCTGTCTGTTTGGCTTCTTCTATAGTATCCACACTTGTCAATAAATCATCCACATAGAACTGTTCTTTAGCTGCTTGCGTAAAAGCCCTGGGAAATTTATCTTGATTATTAGAAACCGTTTTTTCAAAGCAAACGTGGTGCAATATGGCGATGAAGTTGCCCCGAACAGGTGGACCTTCATTCTATAGATCTCAGGTTCCTTTTCTAAGTCTCCACCTGGCCACCACAAATATTTAAGAACATCCCAATCATGCGGCGGAACTATTACTTGATGGCTTCAATGTCCGCCATAAGACCAACTGGTCGTTGCCAGAACCTGGTGAAAACGTCTACTAGGTTATTGACTAAATCAGGCCCAGGATAAAGGTTCTTGTTTAAAGACGTCCCAGCATACCGAGCTGCACAATCGAACAACATTCTTAACTTGTTAGGTTTCTTGGGGTGGAAGACTGGATGATGAGGAAGATACTAAATTCGTCCATCAGAGTGGTTATCGTGTACCTTTTCGGCGTAATCTCGTTCTACATACCGAGTCATGGAGTCTACATGGTCTTGTAACAACTTCTTATCCCGAATAAGTCGACCTTTCAAACAACTAAGTCTACGTTCTGCTAATTCCCTGTTATTAGGTAACTTGTGTTTGTGCCTCCAAGGCAGAGCTATTTGATAGTGCCCGTTTAACCTTCGTACTGAATTTGATATGGTACTGAATGCTATACGATCTTCTACAGACATCGATATAGTACGACTAAATGGATCTTTGAATTCAGCTGAGTACAACTGTTCAAACTTATCCTCTGATTCCTCTTTAGCTGAGAGGTGATTGAGTACACGATTGCTTTTACAGGGTTCCACATAGGAACCGAACAGCGTCCAACCTAACAGAATCTTCACGGAGGATGGTTCACTCGGCTTTCCAGTTCTTATCTCTTTCATTTCGTGTGCACTCGGTGCGTTGTGCCCGATCAACAGTTTGACGTTCTCATCCTCTACTCTCAGGAAAACCAGGATGTCATTTGAGATGTCCTTGGTACCGTCCTGCGCAACATAGGTAATCTCTCGACTGTCCATGCATTTGGGATTCTAAATGATGAAGACGAATCTAAGGAGGAAACCTATACTTGGACCTCTTTACACTGATGCATGGACTAGTTATCCAACGTTTTCAATAAAATCGTCTTGGACTCTCCTTCTAAACCCAACCTTCTAGCTAGATCTTCTGTAATAAGCGAAGCATCCAGTCCACTATCTAGGAAGGCGCAAGTCTGTACTACCTTTTCTTCATTTCTTACCTATACAGGCACTATTGCGAATGCTACTTGTTTCTGTACACACTCAACGCTTTTCTCCGTATATAGTTTGGTATTAATGTGTGCATTATTACTATTATCTCCTTGCTCTTCCCGCTTCCTATGTAACAACGTATGATGCCTCCAACCACATCCTTCATGGCACATGACCTCGGTACTCGACAGTTTCTTGCTATGTGGTTCGCTTCTAGGCAGATACTACACAACATCTTTGATACAAATTCTATCCTTTCATTAACATTCTTGTCTCTAAACCATTCACATTGATCCAAGGGGTGGTTTCCAGTACATAATAAACATGACAACCCAAGAACCCTTGGTCTCACATATGGGGTAACATCATACTCACTCGTGTTAGCGAACGACACTCTCGCTTTATATCCTGAATCAAGGTGTCTTCTAGTATCGGCAACAGATTGTCTTTGGTTGCGATTAGAAGGGTCACTGGTGACAAGTAATCTATATCTAGTATTAGCACTGTCTGACTGCTCTTTCACAAATTCGAAAAAGGTCCTTGAATGAAGGTTATCTACCCGTCTTCAGAATTCTACACACAACTTTAACCCATTCTCTTCGCAAGTGTAGCGGGAGTTTTAAGAACATGCATTCGATAGTTTTTGTAGAGTTAAGACTGGACACATAGTTCATTTGCGTGAGTGTTAGCTCACAAATATGCATCTCACGAGATAGCCTTCTTAAATTATCTGGATCGGTCCCTTTCATGGCAGGGATGCTCAGCATCTTATCAATAAATGCATGGGCCACTATATGCTTCCGACCAAACGCTTCCTCGGGAAGTTCTAGCGCATTACGATAGCCTTCTTACGGCTCGAGCAATGAGCATTGAACAATAGTAGCTTTAGCTTCACCATCACAGTACTGGATCAAATAGTTTAACCTAGATCGCAATCCAACACTCTCATCAACACAGTCCTTGAAATTCCCTGTGAAACTCCATTAGTTCATAGGGTTACCATCGAACCTTATAATCTCTTTCTTTGGTAGGTCTAAAGCTCTAGATAACATTGTTACCCGACCTTTCTAGGAGGAACGTCAACTGCATACGAGGCAGATGTGGACTCATACGTCGGCGCCTTGTCAATCACAACTTGATTATAATGTTCTCTTCCTTTTTGACGTAACCGTTCCGACTCAATTTCTCGTTCTGTCTGGGCTAAACGTACTTTAGCTGATTCTAACTCTAACAAGGGATCCATTCGGTAGGTATTTCCTCCGAGCTGGTCTTCACTATGAGTTTCTGAATAATAGGAAGGCAATTCGGGAATATAATCAATTTTATGACTCTCCATAAACATTTAAAGATACTCAGTGTACGAATTCTTGATGACATACTGTTCAAAACTTTGTAGGGAGCAATTTCCTACGGATTCAACTCTAAGCTAATCCCTAGACTGTCGAATACAAAGTCTTGGTTCGGCCAAAGTCAGAACAAGCACGTAACTTGGCTCGATAAACTTTATGTGTTTCTAAAACGTAAAGTCACACTGTTAGTGTACAAAACAAGAGTACAGTCTATAAACACAGGGAAAAACGGAGGCATAAATAATGTACCGAACAGTAGCTAGAGAGTTGGAAAAATGAGTCAACAAGGCAAATATTGTTTTTTTAATAAACATCGAATTGTGATTGGTGAATAAATGAGACACGGTCATACAAGATCAAGAAAAGTTAGTGTGGTGGTGGGCGTTTCACTTTGCCATTGGTGGGTTCGTTTATCGATCACATTTTACAATATTATTAGAAGTTCAGTTAGCAAAAATATATCGAGAAAGAATTCTTTGAGTTAAAGACGTCACGTTTCTTTTTTGTGAGGAAAGTAAAAGCAAATTACAGCAGAATCAGTACTGGCTTCGATTCTGCGACATGTTTGTTAATGTCTCAATCCACTGTGTCGAATCATCTCTAAAACCCCTACCAGGAGTCATGAAAGATTGACAGAGGCCAATCCTGTACAGCTTCCTTTCATACCTCAACATAAAGTAACCAATCAGTCCCAGCATTGGCGAATAATGGACGATGTCGAATTCTCTAGGACGACATTCACAGGACATATCCAACCCATCAAAGTCGACGTTTCGAGATAGTGACACTAATTGAATCGTCGTCTCTGTGCCTGAACACACAATGCAGAGCCCTTGCATTACCAACATGATGTTGCCACTGGATGTTAGCAATCTTTTGGAAGCGACGATGACCAAACACTGAAAATTATCTGACATCTTCAACTCAGAGAGACTAGGTTTCACAGGCATAGAGAAATACTGCTCTAATTGACTCATCGTGTGGGCTTTTAAGATGCCAGTATACCACTCAGACACACATTTCAATAGACAACCCAAAAAACAGTCCTGTTCAACGAAACTAACGCAGCCGTAATGTCAAGAAGCGCTACAATTCTTGTCCTGTACTAAGTTTGATGGTGTTATTACATTTGGCGGAGGGTGAAAATATGATCAATACATGATCGACTAGAACAAAAACCAGCCTGCTTCTCGCGAGTTAATCGTTCGCGGGTTTTAAACAATCTGTTATTTACGACAGAAGCTAAAAATTCGGACGAGATTGGATGTAGACTAATCCTCCAGATGTTTCAGAAATGATATGAACCCTTTTTAAATATATGGACAACTATCTGTGGTTTTGGAACACTCTCTAATCGCCAAACCTTTGCGAAGATCTCAGTCACTTTCTCATCCAGAATTCCACCATCGTCTTTGAAAAGGGGTGGATGCAAATAATCTGGGCCTGGTGATTTGTGACGCGTCAGGGGTTGTGGTTTCTTGAAGATTCCCGCCTCACTTAAGATGCTTCTACTCACTCATATAGTTGACTTGGTAGTCTCATGTTCATCTTTTTACACTTCTTTATTACACTTTGAACTTCTAACATCACTCTTATTTGTCATCACACTCAAATCCGTTACAGTGGTAGAAGAGTAAATAGATACTCTCTTAATTTTCATATTTAATATATTATTCAAGTTCAGTACCTGTTTTCATTATGAACTGACCGTTTAAGTAAAAATCCCGGATATTCTTATTCTTTAAAAGGTAGTTGCACACAAAACGAATAATTTTTGCAAGCTCGCCACAAAGACATTGGATACTGAAAGTATTTGTTATAAATCCTCAAGTCCATGGACTCCACAGGCACCCCGTTTCAAATGTCGACTACAGTGGATGTTTCGAAAACTTGCAAAGTGAGGGTTGTTTCTTGTCTTTTCACTTTAAAGAAATATACTTGCCTGCAACATTTTTATTTAACAGTTTTGTGTGCATAGTTGTTTTAACGTTAACACGCGTCTTGTGTTTACTTCCAGCCGTTTGCTTTCGGACATAGGCATGAAATTAATGTTCTGACCTGAATTTTATTGCGGCCTTTTGCAAATACTTCATGAATTCGTCCAGAATTTTCGTTTTTAGTTATTCACGTGAATTCGTAATTGAAATCTACAGTCTGCTTTAGACTACTTCTAAAACTAGTAATTGGGAGTATAATTAAGTCTAAAGTAAAAAGGTTTGAGTGAGAATTGTTTTGCTCGCGAAATTATAGGTCTGTGAAAAAATAAGTGGAGTTTGATCAATTTATTTCTTACTAATCAACTACTTTTTTGGAATGCTGCTCCATTCACTAGAGTGTATAGTCATTTGGTCTATCACAGTTTCCACTAAATAATTTTAATTTCTTACAATTGATGTGAATTGACACAATCACTATAAGATATTCGAACTTAATTTCTAAAGGCAACCGATACACTCCTGCTTATATATATTTACCTACAAATATCCATACTTAAGTACTAGTGTCTGGATGAAGGGGGCTTTAGGTGACTCTGGTTCTACAGTGACAGCAACTTCAATCACATTCAATGAGCGGATTTTATTAGCGAATTTACCATTATAGTGTATTGTTCAAATACTAATTGTAACTTTGATCCCTGTTTATTTTAAGTAAAATCACACAATGTTAAGGTCCATCTTTGTCATATGTTACTATGTTACATTTCCATATCTACATTCGTCTCAGTTTCTTTATTCTCAAAATCCGTTTTCTCGTTTCAAAGTAACTAGACATCTTTAACAGTCTGCGAGTATATTTTTAGATGTTATTAGTTAAAGAATCTTACTCATTAACCTATATTTTAACTAGTTCAGTTAAGATATCTGAGAAGCATCGATAGTTTTCTTACTCAGTGTCCCACAACCCATTAACTTAATCTTTATTTGGTTGATGAGTTATTCTAACATCTCATCTACAAATGTCTGTCTGAAAGTCGCCAATTTCTGTGAATGTTTAATGGGGTTAGTATCTTAGATATTCTGTTCATGTAGATTGGCTTCCCTGTTATAACATGAAATAATTGGTACGGGAAAGCGTTGATAAAGTCTCAAACTGAGAACCTCAAACTTAAAGTGAAAACGCTTCTTTTTTAGTGTCTTGTTCGTTCTAATCCAAGAAGTGCCACACCACGGTCCAAATCTGCTAAATTAGTCCAGAAATGATATGATCAGCCGCCTTATAAACATACAACTGTTACCTAAGAACACTCATGGATGGAGACATTACTTAATATAGCTTGACTAACAGTTCCTATTGTTCGAAATTATTATAACCGTATGGTGGATGCGTGAATCTATACTTTTTCGTTGAACTTCATTATATCTGTATTTACTTAAATGTGATGAATATGTATTAACTAGAAACAGGAGATTTTTATGAGTTTCTGTTTAAATGGAAGGGTACGATTCAATAGTTCATAGGTATACAACTCATCATAATGTTCGCATTGTACTCCACATTCATGTAAAGTTGCAATATAATTTTAAGTCAGTATTGAAATTCTCAAATGAACTTTAATTATAATGTGTTCCCGATTCTAACTTGTATTAATTAGGTGATCGATTTGATAGAACTATAAGTTTAAGTTTTTAGTCTTTACTCTTTCGCTAATTTTCTATTAATTGTTATAGATCTTCAATCTGTACTAACCAGTCCTCAAAGTGACCTTAGAGATTGAAACATCAAGTGTGCAATGTGCTCGTTTGCTTGCCTTTGAAAATCTAGGTCCAAAAAATATATCACGCATTTCTGTATTTATAGCAAAGTTTATTATTGGACACTAAATTGGTGTGCAAAATAGAATATTTAACCATTCAGTGTATTATAATCCGATTAGGATTCTTTGATTTAGTTTCAAGCAACCTTAAAAACCCGTATAAAGTTTGAATATCACTACCTACATTTATCGGTTAAGGATTTATTAGCAGTTTATTTTTAAGTTGTGTAAAACAAACTGTCAGGTCGGTGGCATGTTTCGTTTTTGAAATCACAGTGGTATGCAACATAAAAATATTTAGTATTGTTAAGGTGTAGGGAAGGTAAGTTTCATGATTCAAAATCGGCTGCAAGAGCTTCAAGTTTCAGGCAAAAAGAAGGTGACAACTCATTGTGTTTTTGTATGTCTAGCAAATCGATCTACATAACAACCGACATATTAGTTACTCAAACGATTAAAGCTTCTGGTATTCATAAAGTTTTTATACTGTGCAGATCACATCAATTATCTGTAAAGTAACCACATCGATGACAATCAACTTAAATAAGCACTTGCAGAGTTTTGATTCTGGATTTCGGATATTTCATTATCAGACTATTTTATTCTATTTTATTAACAACTGCCTTATAGAAAGTACATTTGTGAATTCACCAGTTGTTTTTAGATATTTACACTTTATAACTCAAGCTTGCTAATCTTTAAAAAACTTTGCATACAACCTGTTTTAGTCTCCAGCGAGCCATAGAAAATGTACCAATCGAATGACTAGTATGTTTCGTTTCTGTTCTACTTGCTTGCCTACTTCAAGTTCATCAGAAAAAAAAGTTCAGATTGCACCACCTACAGATGAAATCCCTCAAACGGTAAATTCATCACCCTAATCCACACTGAATACTGCTAACATTTGTGGCTTATATGTAGCTTTTTCCCTTCCCTCCCACTAATAATCAATACAATGTTTGTGTTTCCAAACTTATTTTCCTGGTGTCATCAGTATTCTATTACTTGTTCTGTTTTATGTTTATTTAACTACTTACTGTGAATAAGTTTATACCTAGCATAAATATGCACTAGTTCTAGCCATCTAAATCTTGCATCCGTACAACAAAAGAAAAAAGTATCAAAATAAAAGACAAAGAGAGGGAAAAGCCAAACACCTAAAACGTATCTGCAAAAATAAAACAAATCAAAAAATAGAAAATACAGACCACTTTAAATCTCATAAATTCTGAGGTTTGGAAAATAAGCAAACTTTTTCTCAAGTGTTAGAGTAGTACACGAATAGGACTAGTACTGATAATCATATGTATCCGTATTTCTTACCCTTATCAGCAAAAGAACTTGTGACTAGTACTCTGATTGATTAAGAATAAAGCGTATCTTGACTGTATTTGATAACATCAGATATGAAAATATTCCTCCCCCTAGTTGATATAACGGCAAAATGGAAATATTGTTTGTCGATCTTTACTATCAACATACGACGATACTGCCAGTAACCTAGACTATATCATCACCAGACTGGGCATTTGATCGATACACTTCACACTGTGGGGTCACATGGTATCAAATACGCGATTCATGACCAAATATAGAGAACTAGAGTATAGACTAGACAGTACGTTACTCAACACAATTACAACCACTCTACACTCATTAAGTCCAAAGTAGGAATCAACAGTAGGATGGAAATAAAATTTAATAGTCAGTAAGCTGAACGCCTGTTAATCTGCACTCAGTGACCAATCATAATTTATTTTCTCTAGTTAAACATCAATATCAGGCGTGATATTCTTATCTAAGGTGTACTTAAAGTACTTTCTGAATCTGAAAGATCGCGTTGTCGCTCAAAAAGTATGTAACATTTATCCCCAAATTCACTTTCATAAATATAACAAACCTCAGTTCTTTATCTCATCACTGAAATTATATGGAGGAGTGATATAACTGTTCTGTTCACACGTCAATTTCAGGGAAGCCATATATTCGTTACCCTTTTATCCTTTCATAAAGTTTAATTTTTCCCCGCGCAAAAATCCTTCATCTGATCCAACGTTTAACCACTTTATTGTGACCAAAGAGGTTTTATCTCCAATAGTTTATTAGTCAATATGCTATTAACCCTTCCTGGAGCCCTGACAAGATTTCTGCTGGTCCAGAGCCCGAGTAAAGAAGGTTTGGTCTCTCCCAAAGTAGGGTATTATTAATGCTACCCGACCAACTGACACTGAGTACCCTACGTACACAACTTTGTATAGATAACTGTACCTTTTTGTAATATAGTTGTAGTAGCCCTACGTGTTTCAGCTCCGTACACTAGAACTATCTCCACGTTTGTAATCAAAATGCTGACTGATGTTGGCTGACAGTCATCTCGATTACCATATCTTATGTTCTTCAGTTGTATGAATCCTGCACTTGCCTTGTCAATTCTTGCCTTCACATATGCATCAGATCCTCATTGTTCATCAATGATCCTGCACAATTACTTACCACTTTCTACCTCTTCCACAGCTTGACTGATGCCCTCTTTGTTGTATTTGAGGATCTTGTTTTTTACCTTGTGAATGTTGAGGCCTACTGATGTAGAGTCTTCTATTACATTGGTTGTCTTCACCTCTATCTGTTGCTGTGTATGAGATAGAGCAGCTAGGTTGTCTGCAAAGTTAAAATCATCTAGCTGCATTCAAGCTCTCCATTGCATTCCGTGCTTCCCCTGAGATGTAGAGGTCTTCGTGATCCGTCAACCACCGGAAGAAAAAGAAAAGGAGAGAGTAAGCAGTCTTGTCTGACACCGATCCACACTTGGAATGCATCTGTCAGCTGTCTTCCATGTACGACTTTGCAGTGTAGTCCGTCATATGAATTCCGGATGATGTTGACGATCTTCCCAGGTACACCATAGTGTTGAAGAACGTTCAATAGGGTTCTTCTATTCACGTGGTCAAACACTTTCTCATATTCAAGGCAAGTGATGTATGATAATGAATTCCATTCAATTGATTCCTCAATAATGATCCTTAGTGTCACGAGTTGGTTTGTGGACAACTGATCCTCAAGGAATTCAGTCTGTTGATCTCGAAGCTGGGCATCTGCTGAACTTTTCTTCGGTTCAGCAACATTCTATTGTTAACGTTTTCTGGTATTGATATTAATGTGATGCCATTGCAGTTCTCACACTTGCTCAGATCACCTTTCTCTGGTATCTTAATCAAGTAACGTTCTTTCCAGTCTGTCGACACTTGTTCTTCCTTCCAAATCTTCCTGAATAGAACGTGAAACATCTTTGCAGTTAATTCTATGTCTGAATTCAGTACTTCAGCTTCTATGTTTCTTTGAGTGGATGTTGAAGAACTTGAAACCTGTTGCTGATATCTATTTCGAATTCGTTGAGTTTGTGAGTATCTCGAACGAAGACTGTACTAAACGGTTGTAAGTCTGTTTCTCCAGTAGTTTTCCAGTGCTTCTTTAACTTCAGTCTCATTTCGGTCACAATCAGGTAAAGATCTGAAGCTATATTAACTATCCTCTTTGTTAACACGTCTTCCATGAACCTTCTGAACTTTTTATTTGTACAGGTATGGTCGATCTGGTTCTCTGTGGTGTGGTCCGGTGAAACCCATGTAGCTTTGCGTATATATTTGTGGGGTGGAATTGTACCAAACTACCATTAGAAACCTTGAAGCATTCTAGTATGGGACTACTCGGCAATTCGTATCCATAATACCACAAGCGGGGTTCGAACCCAGTACTTTCAGTTTCGGCGACATGTTCCAAGGCTTACAAAATCTACTCATAAAAACATACTAGCTGAATCACTGAAGTCAGACATAGAAGTAACTGCGAAGATGTTCTATGTATAATGGGTTTCACTCATTCCGAGCATCAGCAGGTTGTACCTTGTCATTTCCACAGCTATATGAGTAGTCCTCCCGGTCTTCCGCATTGTTCGAACATTCCATGTACCTATATTAATTGTTTCTCTGGTTTTCAAAAGGGATATCGTTTCGTGACTTCCAAAGAAGCTCGTCTTTCACTGTGAGTCGTCATAATTCTTCTAAATGAAGATTCTTCAACTCTCGGGCTTGAGTTTAGATTTTTTGAACGATTGTTTCTGGTTAGCGTTTTATTTAGCAATTTTGTTTTCTACTGGACGAAGTTGTCGACCACATGTCCAACCCTCCTTCTTTACCCGACCTTTGAACCAGCAGTAACCTTAGAAGTGCGTCATGCTGAGAAGCAAACATACTGTACTTTGGATGTGCAAACTAACTATATAGGAAATTAGCAAAGCTTAGATTAATCAAGAATGGCAAGTCACAATTACCAGATATTTAGAAATGACAGCAGAGATTTCCTACATTCCGTTCTGCAGGATTTGGCTGAAAGAACAAGTACCAATAGGCTGTAAAAACAAACATATCATCAAGACAGTGTGACGTAATCAGCTATTGGTGATCTTGAGAATAACAGAGGTGTCATATTACTTCTAGTACTAAAAGTTTTTGGCAGTGTCGCTGAACCGATTGAAAGATTTGATAGACACCCAAATTAGAAACTAAAATGCTGGCTTTCTTAAGGGTCAATCATGTACTGAGTGAATCGCGACACTGCTATCATTGTTGGACAAGTAGTCGGATGGAACGTGTCACTTTACGTCAGCTTCCTAGATCATGAAAAAGGTTCAACTTTGTGAATAGGAAGGACTTGTACAATCTTCAACACTGGAGTGCTTAAAAAAACCACCATTCGAAACTCCAAGGACGAACTGAATTGCAGGGTTGTTCATGGATGGCAACTCACTGATGCATTGCTAATTAGAACTGTTTTTAAACAAGGCCACCTGTTTTCACCTTTTCTCTTCCGGTCGTTGAATGCATTATAAAGATCTCCACGCCTCAATAAAATTATAGGAATGCAGTGGACACGTAAAATGCAGCCAGACGACTTGGACTTAACAGATGACTTACTTCTATCTCATATACTGCAACAAATTCAGATCAAAACCCTCGGTGTAGCATCGGCTTCCGCAGCAGTAAACCTTAGTATGTACGAGGGAAAAAGCAAGATTCTAAAATACATTAGTAAGTAATGGTCAAATCACAATTGACGGAGAAACTCATGAAGAGACAGAAGCCTTTACGTACGTGGGACACTTCATTGATAAACATTTAGAATGTAATGTCGATGTGGAGGCACGAGCTGGAAAAACAAAGGCAGCATTCTTGCAATCGAAGGATATCTGGAACTTAAGAGAGCTGTCATAAATGACCAAAGTTATGATTTTCAACACTGACGTTAAAACAATGCTGTTGTACGAAGCTTAAACTAAAAAGTACCACCATCAAAACAGTGCGAGTACTTATAAATACTTGTCTGCACAAGATACTCCAGATCCATTGGCAAGAGATCATCAGGAGTGACCTGTCATATCGGAGAACAAACTAGGCTTCTGTTGAAAAAAGAATTAGAAGATAGTGAAAGTGAGGAAGACACTATCCCAAAACCACTAGACTGGATTACAAGACAACCCTTAGCTTAAAATTCTCAAGACACATAACTCTGGGATTCGGAAGCAAGCATCATGAGTATTAGTACTACTTAGCGAAAACTAGGAATTTGAGTGCAGTACAGAGTTGTATGGAGATCCCTGGCTGACCTACGCTCCATAAAGGGTAACAAACAGGTCTAAATAATTAATATGTTAATATTTTGTTACCGCACTTCCAAAATATCACTTATTAATGAAAAAAAGTTTGTAAATAAACTAAATTTAATCGGTAGCTCAGAAGTTAAGGCACTCAACTTTCAGTTATCAAATCGTAGCTTCAAATCACCTCCCCACTTTGATTTGTGCAATCAAATTATATCACTAATCCTCATACTTATAATGTGAACCAAAACCAAATATATAAATTTTACTTGATCAGTGAATTCAATTACATTCACTATTTTTTATTATTACTATTATTATAATTGCATAACACCAGTAGCAGCTAATTCAGTGGCATTTGTTGTTATTTCTATGCACATTTATACTGTCTGATTATTCTCTTACCATTATCGTGTCATACTACGCTGCATATTTTTAAAATCTTAAGTAGGAAAAATTAGGTTTCCTTTTAAAATAGTTCATCTTTCTCTCGCTCTCATAATCTGGATCTCTCTTTTCTTTTTAATTCTTTATAGCGTAAATCACTTGATCGATATGAAAGAATTGGAAATTTATTAGAACAATTTTTAAAAGGAAAGCTACAGCATATTCATAAATTTACTGATTTACCAGGTGAGAGAAATAAAAAAAAGAGTAAATACTACTCTTTAATCCCATTTCAGTTGAAAATTCACTTTTTTACACGTAATTTCTTCTCTTTCAAAAGTTGAGTTAAAACAATATTGTGAGAGGTGAAACACTTGTAACTAATGACAGTGGATAATTGATGCGCTATATCATAGATTGGCTGAATATAGAATTATACCAATGGACATCGTGCAGAGGTTAAGTCGTTGACCTCGAGACCTGAATTTCATAGGCTAAATTTGTGACGAGATCGTAAGTGCGTATTAATGAGAAGCGTTCATATGAGAATAAAAAAACTACTCAGTGCTACGTAGTTTCCAATAGTACTACAACTAAAATCAATCTTTGGTGAATACAACCTACAAAAGTTGATATTGTTTAAAAAACAAAAGTGAAGACATTGTGCTTGATAGTCATGTATATATTCATTGCTTATTTTGAATAGTGGTTATCGAAGTTATGAATAAAATGATACACTAAAGCTTTTAGTGTACTCAATTACTATTAACAGTGAAAACTTTCTTCAGCAATCTCTTAATAATTTGTATTACTTACTAAATTACCATTATCTTATCAGGTAGGTTTTTTTCACTTTAGACGGGGGAGAGAGTTGACAATGTTAACTATCATTGTTATTATTATATAAACAAATTATTTCTTTCTACTATTCATTTTTGACAGTTCAAAGTTCCTTCGTACATTTTCTAGTTTGCAACAAAACAAAAACATTGTGAGATATGATACGATAATGTGTCGTAACCAACAGTTATATTTCGTACTAGAACAGTAATGAATATTATTAATCAGTACAGCGCAAAAGTTAATATGTGAATATAAAGATGACAAACACGACAAATCGGCTGATTAGGTGATGAATCTTCATCGATTGAAATGGTTGGGAGATGTATTACAAATCAATAATTACTGCTTACTTGTACGGGCGATGTTAGCTAGCATAAGAATATGTTGAATGGAAGCTAGAAGCGACATGACTAATACTTAGCATCAGTTTATGATGTGCTTGACTATTTGTGTAAACGGGTATATGGCAGGTAAAGACTACGTGGTTCGGATTTTGGCCAGTAGTTGCTGACGTTTAATGACGTGGTTCACAATTGTGCAGATGGGTTCACTTTTTGTCTTCCTTCAGATTTGGGTTTTGAAATTATCTTATAGTTGGTATTTCACAAATGTATTCCTTCTTTGTGAATTTTATTGTCTCGGTTTAATATTTTATACCACCACTGATACTGTTACTATTTCCACTACTGTGGCATTTGTCTTCATATTTTCATCTCATTATGCCGTTAAGTGTGAGACGACTTAGGTAGATGCATACACACACACACAAGGGTTCTATGTTGCTTATGAATGACTGATGTGGATGAATCTTTGTTATTTCTATGATTCTAAAGCTTTGATCATTTAAAATATTCAATTATAGATCTCATTTGTCTCAAGGATATCCATAGATCAGTCTTTTTTGCTGTCAAGCGAATAGCATCTTTTTTGCTTCATATCATGTCAATTAGATTAACTTTTGGAAACATTAATTCTATGTTAAAATGACATCAAACAACAATCAAACCAATATCTGTCCTCCAAATCTGGATATTTTGTTTTGTTTCCTTAATTACTAAACTGATCTACTTTCTTTCCTTTTTTGTAAATATACATTGACTTATCTAAGTTTCTACTTCATTTTTGTATTGTATCTTAGTTGCTTAAAATAGATTGGTAGTTATTTTCATTTTGAAAACCTACGTTATAATAAGTAACCTTACTCACTCATATACATTCTGTTGAGGTCACTTATTATTAATATACACTCTTAAGTTGCTATAACAACGAAAACGACCGCTAAATGATGATCATAATTTCTTAATTTCTGTTTGTTAACTAAAATAAAAATTAATTATGATCATTCTGGAAGATGCACCATGGATTATTTTGTCTCTTATGGTTGATATAGATATTAACATCTCGACTTCACTCTTTATTGCATTCTTGATTGTGAATTCCAGTATTCTATCGCACGCACCTTTTCATTCTGTCTTCCTGAATCATATGTCAGTGCTTAATCTTTCTCTTCATCATTGTTACCACATCAATTCCTTTGTTTACTCAACTTGTTGGTCTCACTGAAATCATAGACTGACCTAAGTTAGACAACTACTGGGAACCTGGAAGCATTAAATAGTTGTTTCTCCCTATTATACGACTACTTAGTGGTGCGAATCCATAATTCCGCAATGGGCAATCGAACCTACGACCTTCGGTTTCGCGCGCGAACGCTTAACCTCGAGACCACTGGACAGGGACCGAATGGTGTGCCAGACTAACTTCAATCAATCCACAATGCTGTACAACCATCTCCCATTGTCTTTTGTGAGTACCTTTCTCACGTTCAACATGGTTGTTAATTTCATCTCGTCGTGTCAATTTGGTTTGCCAACTTGGGCTTACGCACATTTGCACCATACTTTACATGGATTTTAATTAACTGACTGACTTCACTAGAAGATTGATTTTTATGAATAGTAGAAATAAACCATCATTCACTGAAATCTGATTCGTCTACTATAAATAGAATCAAATGTCGAAATATAGATTGGCATAATACGTACATCATATTTCTCAATTATCTCAAGCAATGGAAGTTCAGACTTTCTTATACTCATAGATACATCTCTAACTCAATTATTACTCTTCAGTACACTCACTGACTGATCTTTTATAAGCTTGCTGATATATATGTAGACAATTGACACTGACATATAAAAAAGTAAATCAGTGTACCATACAACTTCAGTATAAAATAGTAACTTCACATTGAAAAGTATATAGATTATGATCAGACTAATACTGTTCATTAAAACTAATCCTCATTCTATCCTTATCAAACTGTGTGTTACTAAGTCTCTGGTCTTATGAAGATCAAGTTAGGCTTTGAAGTGACTATAAAATAACTTCAACCTTGAGCGACGTATCATACAATGAGAAAACAGAGTGTAGAGTTACAAAGCTATTTATAAAAAAATAGTGATGTGGTGATGGATATACAGTCTCAACATGGTAAGTTTAGCGTCTAGTACAACTACACAGATGATTCACTCTAACTTTTGGACAGGCTTTATTGACTCAGACAACATATGATTATTGAGTCATTCTTACTATAATAATAAATGTTGTCATCATAGGTAATATGACCTTCAGCACACACTATGTCCTTGTGATTCTGTTCTTATGCACCTCATATGTACTGTTTACATGTCTGTCACTCATTATTTCACTCAGTACCTGTTTATTTGTCACACTATGCTTCATCTATTTTGAGTTGTGTTGAAGCTTGTAATGAATTGTAAAAGGGAGTACGCATTCTTGAATTCTCCGCTTCGAGTTTCTGCTTCTCGTTTTCATGTCTTTCTGGATAAGCGATTGTCTGAAATAAATACATCCGACTCAATCCTTACTTGACTTATTACCCCCGTCGCTCAAACGCGATTAGCCTAGGTGTTAAATGGAAGATTTATGTTCACGGTATATTCGTTCTTTCGTCCAAATCGGAGTCAGATCTCTGGGCACTAAAATGAATTAGGATTAAGATTACGGACAAGAAGTCCATCTAGACTCAGGAGTCACACTTAGTAGTGTCAAAGTTAAGAGTTAGAGATATAATATCCTAGAACACTCGACTATGCCCTAAAGTAAACCATCGCTCTCAGGTACGATCTGCGTCAGGAGCATGTAATCCTTGTAATTTGACTTATGCATCATGTCCAACTCATTATATGGACCCCTAAAAGCTTTTTAACAGTTCTAAGCACCTTACAAGATAATTATGAACAATTTTACTTATTTCACAAATTTCGATAATGTAATTAGAAGACGAAGATTATCAGAACTATGCGTTTTATTTTGCATAAAATCCAATAACCACTATCTTGAATCTGATTGGTTCCCTCAAGGTCGTTGTTGGTTTGTAGTCTCGCAATGAATTTTTATCACTAACTTTGGTTTAAATTGAATAACTACTGAGAATCCTAGGATATCGGGCAGTCACTTCACTCAAATTCTGAAACTCTTGAGCAAAATACACTCACACCACGGACTCTCAAAATCTTCCAGTCCCATGACAGTCGTAACCTTTATCCAATGTTGACTTGCCTACTTTTGGATTTTATTAACTCCAGAAGTCAAAAGCTTCACAACGTTGCTAGTGGTCATACTACTTACTACTTAATCTGATGCTTTCGTGTACAGCCTTTCTATAATTCCAGGATAGTGTTCATTATCCTGATCGAAAACACTTGAATCTTGAGTATGCTCACCCATTACTGTCGAACAGTCCTCATATTAAGATGCAACAACTTTGTCTAATGCATTCATTTCATTTCACCACAAATAACTTGTGTTTCTGTTCCTCTCTTTCTCTCTCTGTTTTCAGATGGTTATTTCCTAATTGATGAAATTATCCAGTTACCTGAATTCAAAAAAGAAAATTGTACATATGATGAAATTATTGATGTTGTACATAATGATGCATTATTACGATTCAGTGTTAGAGGATCAAAAGTTCGCTTGAAACCGCCTGAATTAAATGTATGGTGATATTTCATATTTCAACTTTTCTTGATATTTTTTTATGATACTTTAGAAAGACCCTGATGTAATTTTATCAAAAAAGTTAGCTTGGATTCTACGTCATGGAGCAGAGAATGTCGGAATGAAATATGAACCTGGTATGTATGTGTGTTGTTTTCACGTCATAGGTTTTTTTTTATCTAAATATTTCCATGGGACAATGTTGGATAGATTGATTGAACACATAAAAAAGGTGACCGAACTGCAGTAGATGATCTACTCACTAAAATGTTCGCCAACTCTCCACCTAAATGAATTTCATAATAAAAGTAGACTATAGTGAAGATGTTCAGCGACTCTTGAAGTAACTTTGAGAAATTAAAGCCAATTTTTAGCCAGTAGGAATGCAGGTTACATAAATGAATAATTTATTGCATCAGCAAAACCAAAATTTTCTTCAAGTAAAGTAATTGGCCAGAATTTAAGGTTATAAATTCGAATACAACATAAGCAATTAAGAGTAGTGATAATAAATTGGATGGACAAATATTCTCTTGCCCTATATCGATGAAAACTTTAAAGTTATTTTTGTAACTTTATAAATTACCGTCCTCATCCTTCAACCTTCTCATATTTATCGGTTTTTAGTAATTAAATATTCTAAGTATTTATTCAACTTTCAATATGTTACATGCTATTTGTTATTGTGCTTCAAACTTTGCGCAAAGATCCAATAGCCATCTTAAATCTCATTGATCTGTCAATATATGATGCATTTGCCTAAACTGTTCTAATGAAATAGTTTTTCTATGAGTACCCGTGGTCAGACAACAAATAATGAATGATGGTTGTACGGGATTGTAAATTAACTGAAATAATATATTAACATGATTGGGTCCAGGTTGATTAGTGTAAAGGTTGAACAGTCACGCACGAGACTGAAGGCTATGGGTTCAATTGCTAGTCACGAAGTCATGGATGCTCACTGTTATGAAGTACCATGCTAGGATAAAGCGGCCGTTTAATGCTTCCAGATTTTTAATAGTGTTTTGGATAAGATCACTTTATGATTTCAACTGTGAAAATAATTGGTCAATCATGAAAATAAATGTTACAAAGTAATCAATATAGCATCACCCATACCCATTGCATTTCTTTGTACATACCATACCACACTAAATGTCTGACAAGATTTGTACTGCACAAAAAGTTATTTAACCTACGCGATAGCTATACAATGATTCTTAATTTAGAGTGAATGAATACCGTAGTACTACGAATTAAGTTTCGTCTAATATATATATCGATTCAGAATAAATTTGCTGAAGCAGAAATAGAGTAATCAAACGACACGATAATTTTCCTACGTCTAGCTAAACTATTATTAATATAACGTAAGGTTTACAATATTTCCCTCTCCCTTTCTCTCTGCGGTTTACTACATGACGCTAGATTGGATACTTGAACGATACACAATACACAGAGATTAGATCACCATACATCAGATACGCGATTCACGATCAAGACTAGAGAACCTTCGTAAATACTAGACAATACTTCATTGCACACAGTTAGAAGCAATCTACACTCAACGAGTTAGGAGTAGAAATCAATGAGAGGAATAGAGATCATATATTTCATTGTCAATAAGTTAAGTGACTGTTTGTCTACACTTAGTGACTGATAATATTTTACTGCTACTACCACACATAAATTATTTAATTTTTAAAGTTGAATTCACGAGTCAATTTAAGCTAGACCACTATTGAAAACCTGAAAGAACTGGATAGCCGTTTCGTCCTAGTATGGGACTCCTCAACATTGTTTCCTGGTTTTCAATGGTAGTCTAGCTTCGATTGATTCGTAAATTCAACTGTTAAAATACTACAATCTCCCCAAATCCCCACATTGATAATTATCTAGTTGTTTAAATTGAATTTCAAATGAGTCAGTGTTTGAGCTCGTGACCTTGATTGGTGGTGATTGTTAAATATTCTGACTTTACTCATCAATTATCTATCATATGTGTAAAGTATATTTAATAAGAGCTAATTGTTATTCTTACTATAGGAAGGATTTTAGAGATATTCTTGAATTTTATAGTTCACATGACGTTACTAATTGATTTGCTTTTATTAACATTATTAATATTTACTTATTTTTCGTTAAATTTCTACAGGTGGTTACCTTTATGTAGATAAAATACTTCAATTGAAACCATTTCAAGGGGTTCGACTAGAAGATATTTCACGTGTTGTTAATTCGAACGATAAAAAACGCTATGAACTGTCGACAAATCCAGAAAATGGCCGGTTAAGAATCAGAGCTTATCAAGGTCATACTGTTACAGTAAGTGAATAAATGTGTCTATATATAACTTCTCATTTTCCCGGTCGTTTATATTTCTTGTTCCTTGTGAATATATATATATATATATATATATATATATATATATATATATATATATATATATATGTAAGTGATGTATCTCTCTTAATTTAAAAGCGAAGTAATCAGTTTGATATCAAGGATTATATTGTGAATCGATGTAATTTCTACTGTATATTTTCTACTTGTCATTTAATTCATCAGTTAAATACAAATCCAAGTACTTAACTTCCAGCTACACAAATGTATGTTGTATACTATCTTTTCGGTGCGCAAAACACCTTAATATTTGTTGACTGTTCAGTTAAACTATACATACTATCTAACTAGTCCCAGGCCTAGTAAATTTACATATTAGAAGTTCTGATGCCTATTTGAAGATAAATGTATGAGAGAGTACATTATTGTCATTCTGAGTTTACTGATTAATAAAAGTGTGTTAAGTTTTACAAATAATGTATTTTTACAATAGTAGTTCATTTAAACCACAGTTTCTTTATTACATTTGCTGTTAGATAGTAATCGGTAAGAAACCTTTAAACCCTTAGTTTTGTGCTACTTGGGTAGTCATCAACAAGGTGTACGTTCAATATGTATTTAGTTATGAGTCATGTGTCTGTCTGTTAAATCAATGTTTGAGTTTACTGTTCGTCAGTTCATTTCATATTGTTTTACTACTGTAAAATTATGATCTATGAAGCTAAAAAATTATATATGTAATCCTTTGCACTTGTTTGTCATTATCTAAGCTCCAAAAAGTTAGATAACACAGAATCGCCTACTATACATTATCACGATGAAATTCATCCATAAGAATCACGTATCCAGTAGATAACAAATAAACATCCTACTGAATAATACGGCCTATTTATTACCAGACTCAATCATCCCAATTATCAATATAATATGCTAAATAAATAAAATGATATAACATTAACAGGCAAGATTTTACTTCCACTTAGATATCAAAAACATACAGGTCATTTATCTGTCTTCCAATCAAAGGGAAAGTGTGCTGTTCATAAGTCCACATCGTATTGCTTTACTACTGTGAAATATACCCATTGAAAGCACAAACCATGTATGAACTGCAAATATACATGATGAAACCACTAAGTAAGTGATTCTGTGGTTAGGTATAGAATACTAGGTAGAATACAAGAAGGTTGGTTGATAAAATCATAAAATTCATCGACTGACAAAATAAGGTAGGAGTCTCTATATTAAGACAGGATATCTGCATGAAATCGTCGAGTGCCTAGTCAATGCCACGTTGGAAGGTGAAAAATTATGAATCTAACCCTGTGAAATTGTTTTAATCTATATTTGTAAGCAACTCCGCTCACACTCCCACCAGTGTTCCTTTTAGTCCAAAGTCCGGGTAAAGAGTGAGGTTCGGCAATAAGGTTAATAAACCAAAACCCATAAAAACAGATACTCACTCGAAAACGCTAGCCAGAAACAATCTAAACTCGAACCTGAGAGTTGAAGAATCTTCATTTAAAAGAATTATAACGACCCATGATGAAAGACCAGATTCTTTGGAAGTTACGAGACTGATGTCCCTTATAACAACTAGAGAAACAAGTAATATCGGTACATGGAATGTTCGAACAATGCGGAAGACCTGGAGGACTACTCATATAGCTGTGGAAATGACAAGATACAACCTGATGATGCTCGGAATGAGTGAAACGCAATAGAGGCACACTGGACAGAAAAGCTTAATTTCGGGAGAGATGATGTTGCATTCTGGTCATGAAGAAGTAAATGCTTCGCATACCCAAGGATTTGCAGTGATTTTGTTTAAAGGGACACAGAAAGCACTCACAGAATGGGGTTATAAAGAACCGATAACTTGAAGTTGCCTGGAGGTGTTGTGCTTCAGTAAGTACTAACAATAATACATCTCTGTAGACAGCCTGGATAAGATTGAAGAAGTAAGAAACATGATGACACCAATGAATAAGAACGGAACAAGAGTGAAGAAAGAAAGCCAAGACACAAGTAAAGTACTACTTATGAGTTGTATGAAATCATCCTGCTAAAAGTTAGTGATTATTTTATGAAACTAAACTCACATCATTATAATGAATTACATTACAATTAGATACTATTGACTAGACTAACACCTTAATAAATTTTTTATCGAGTTGGATAAAACAATTTATTTGTTGCTGACTAATGATAAGTTATAAATGTCTATATTTTTTATGATTACAGCTCACAGATAAACTTAACATGTTCCTTATTTTTAAACCGAATTCGTATTGTAAATAATGCTCACTTTGAAAAATAATCTCTGTGTGTGTGAATGAATGAATCAATGAATACCCTCTAATAGATTACGGCTTAAACGGTATATAGAGCTTCGGCACTCTCGAACGTCTGGAAACTCGAGATTACAAATCAAAAAAAGAAAGCAGGAAAAGTGGTTTTTAAGTGTCAGAAATATACGGAGAAACAGGGGCTGTATTTATAGTTCTTAGTATGGGCTATAACATCATAATACAGTCAATCATACCATATCACGTTGATATTCTGGAAAGTTCTATCGGGTTCCGATTAGATCCAATCTGTTCGAATCCTTTATAGCTTCTGAAGGCTTTGTTGCGCTTTCTGGGAGCCGTCCCAATAATAATAATAAATATAAATTCAGTCAGTCAGTCAGCTACAACGCAGGTCAGGTACATATATGCATCGGTCCAAGTTTCCATACCTCATTAACACAACAAGATGAACACTGAATTTATAGTTTGATCTCTAAGTTAGTGATTGATAAGTAATTGGTTAATTGAAATAATTCTTTTACTAACCAAAAGTACTTTACAATCAAATACTAGAAAAAAAGGCTTGTAAAAAGTCAACACTGAGTACCTTAAAGTAACCTTTTACTTACCTACAAGTTTGTACATGTCTAGATCCATAAAGTTATTTTGAATGAATTTGTGGCAGACATATCTCGTTATCAGTTTATGAGATAAAATCTATGAAAATTAATTTCCACCAAATCCTATACTGATAACAGTCATGTACTTATTAGCGGCTATCTTCTAAATGCAATTCTTGGAATTCTAATGGGAAGGTGTAACTAGTAGAGTTCAATAATGTGTGGTGTAAGATAGTTATCTAACTCAGCTATTGAGTGAAAGTTGGTCAGTATCGTGAGTCAATTAAATTCATTTATTAGATGTGTACACCGTTTGATTCCTGGTTAGCAGTCTAGGGGTTAAAGGTTCGCTCATGAGAATGAATATTCTAGGTTCGAATCCCTATGGTATGATCGTGTATGTGGACACTACTGAGTGATTTCAAAATAAGATGAAACGGCCATCCAGTGCCTCCAGGTTTTTAATAGTGGTTTGGCTGAGACCAGTCCGTGATTTAAACTACGAATATTCTGCAATCTGCGCAAAACCCTATACTGTTATTTTCTTGATAATTCGTGTATATTCCCACATAATTGCTCTCTACTTTTCATATCGATTTGCATGTATATGTGAGCGTGTGTGACTGTGTACATGCTCATCTAGCTTACTCGACTATTTAGCCTCCAAATGGGCTTGTACGACTGAGGGTGGATAGATTCCTTTCTCCCCCTAAAAATGCTATCAAATGGCCACGCGTATATAGCCACTCCCGGGGAAGTCCCACTCACTGCCTTATCACAGTGAAATTGTTGTTTACGAAACTGAGAGCGAATGTCTGGCGCTTAAATCGGGTTGGTGGGTACGGAGGACCCACCTAGGGGAGTTAAAAAATCGTGGGCTCCATGATCCCTAGGGAGCAAATGGCGCGCGAATCTGTTGCTGGTCATCGCTTACCATTGGACTGCATCTCCCAACGCTGACCCACTACCTTGTGGATTAGACCTGCAGATCGAAGGCTCGCACAGTTGCCCTCTAAGAAAATCACCCAATTCAGCTTATCCACTCGGGCATTATCCCATCCCACATAGAAAGTTAATGATTTATTGTGTAACGCACATATATTTTGATGCTCCTTTATACTAATGTTTATCTGGCTAAATAAATAAATAGTGTTCATCTGACCTACTCACTTATTCTCTTACGCGCCTAAACAGTAATTCCCCAATCGCTCTACTACTCATTTTCATGTTAAATATTAATTGATGGATTTTCTCTTTTCCTTTTGTGGTTTCTAGAGTGCAATAAACTGATTTTTTTTCAACTCAAAGTATTTCTATCATAACAGTCTATTTCATTTCTATCTTCAGTGACATTAGTAGTGCAAAGTTAGGATAAATTCTAACACACTAAACAAAGGATATTGCTTATATATACCATTATTTCTTACTAAATTCGTATAACATCATACACGATATAGCCTTTTATCAAACATTTGATCAGATGTCTAATGACATTTATTATTTCTCTCTTATATCATACAATTCCAAGTGAAGACATAAACTTATTCAAATTTAACATTGCATATAACTCATTTTAAATATTAGCAATTTTCACTATGATGTTGTGAAGATTGTTGAATTTTATTGGAATCATAAACCGATCTAATTTAGACCGCCACTGAAATTTTTGAATTACTTGACAGTCGTTTCGTTCTAGTATGTGTATCTACAACCCCAAACGCCGGGACTCAAACCCAGGAGCTTCGGCCTTGAAATTAAGAATTTTATTGTATTTTACAAACAATCCTAAATTAACAAGCTATAATCTTAAACAATTTAGTTTGCCTTAAACTTGATCTTCGTTTTTCTGGAATGATTAATTTGGATCTATAAGTGTAGAATTAAAAGACAGTTTATTGAAAAAATATGTTCTTCGTTTATGTATCAGTGTTTTAATATAATTGAATAATTTTTTTCCCACTTATGTCAAAATACAGTTATTTCATAGTGCTTTACTCACTATTCACGTTGTCTCAATCAATGTACACATATACCAATACATATGGAAAAATACCTTGTCAATTAGTTTACA